AAACTATGTACGGTTTGTCGATTATAAATTCCACAAAGACTCATCTCGGTTAAGCAATCCCCAGAAGACTCGCTTCTTGGTTATCGATTTTCGTTCTGACTGATCGACTGATCACTTTCAGGCGAGCACTCGACTTGACTGAACATAATCACCGCTCACAAGTTGTCAGCTCCATGCTTAAACGAGTTGAGTCTCTGTGGATGTTGAGTCTCTTAAACTTTACTAAAAATAAATTCAAATTTGACTTGAAAAACGTTTTAGATATTTCCGGGTAAAAAGTCAAAAGTTCTTTATCAATTTTCATAGCTGTAAGAACGAGGAAAAGTTGAATACGTGCACTTCGAAGACTTCTGTCCTTTTTCAGAGATCCGTAGTTGCTCTCCACTTAATAGCGCGCTAATAGCTGCTAATAGCTGCTAATAGCTGCTAATAGCGCGCTCTAGCTACCGTACGTACGTAGTTGTATGAGCATTCTAATATGATTCCGACAAGTATCCAAATTTTGATACTTGTAGGGTTTTTCGAGGTTTTCTTTCTTAATTCTTAATTCGAGGTTCATTCCGAGGTTTTTGGAGGTTTTCTTTCAAAGTGTTTCTCTAGATTTGATTTTTTTTACGTAGATTACGAATTTCATAGTGACAATTTAGGGGAAAATGTTTTAAAATCGACTTTTAATGGCCTTAAAGTCAGCACTGCCTTCTACCGTTTACTTCACTGAAGAGACGGCGAGTTCAAACCGCTAAATGTCGATCTAAAACTCATTTCCCTAAACTTTCACTATGAAATTCGTAATGTACGCAAAAAGAAATGACGCTAGAACCTTAAAGAAACGCAAAAACGCAAAATTACCTTAGAAAATTACCTTAGAAAATTACCTTAGAAAGGAGTTATGAAGCAAAAAAAACAAGCTTAACCCCAAAATTACCGAAATTTCTTCGATTTTCATCAAAAATTTCATTATGAATAAGTCAAAATTTGAGCAAAAATCGAAATACATTACAAATAAGAATGCCTTTTCTTTGGTTAGCCTTTTCTCCTACCTGACAAGCTACCTCGATGACCTGACAAGCTACCTCGATGACCTGACAAGCCACCTCGATGACCTGACAAGCTACCTCGATGACCTGACAAGCCACCTCGATGAACCAGTGACAAGAAAACTCGTTCAAACTAGACAACGCAACACTCCGCTGACCGTCAGCCTATGGGGGCGGGGTACTATTACAGTATTTACGGTACCTGACAAGCTACCTCGATGACCACCTGGTTTTTTTATGGTTTTCAAATGTAGAAAAAGAAATTTGCGCTCAAAAGTACACAAAAAAACAAGCAACAAAAAAAAATCTTTTCAAAACACTTTCCAGAAAGTTTTTTTGAAACTTTCGATTAATTCCCCTTCATTTTTTTTTCGATTTCCCCAATTTTCCCCATCTTTTACACACATTTTTACACCATTTCCACCAGATGTCCTCTTTCATTTTCATCCTTTTCTCTCTCTCTCTCTCTCTCTCTCTCTCTCTTTTCTTTCACTCCAAACCAAAGCCCTTTTCCCTATTTTTTTTTTACCGCTTTCTCACTTAAAGTTGCCAAATTTGACTTCTCGTTTTTTTTGATTGCTTTTTTTGAAAATTGTAGAAATTTAGAACTTTTTATGGAGATCGAGTCAATAAAATTACGATTTTGTAAAAAGAAAGTATGAGTTAAACTCCTTTTGGAGTAAGGGAGATCGAGTACGTTGTGGTGTACTGATTGGCACCGAAAGGTTACTGGTTCGAGTCGCGGCGGCGCACAAGTTTTTTGATTTGTCCTAGTTCAAACTGGCGACCACGGAAGGATGGGCTCTGTAATGCTGGCTAAGACCTATAAATCGAGACGTGCCTTCTCGTCCCAGAGAGGGGGAAACAACTGCCTCTGGAGTGATGCCGATTGTTGTGCCTTGTAGTGTGATGGTTAGCACAGTTGTCTGGTAATCGGAAGGTCGCGGGTTCGAGTCCGGGGAACAGCTTTTTGATTTGCCCTAGTTCGAAGTTGTTTGTTTTTGATTTGTCCTAGTTCCAAGTTGTTTGTTTTTGATTTTTACTAGTTAGAGATCTTAAAAGTCAGTAGGCCAAAAGGTAAGGGTTAGAACTCAAAAAGTAGCGTTGAATAAAGAGAAGTGCAATGAGAAAATTCGATACTTTCCCTCAAAAAAGTCACTTTGAATAGGTTCTTTTTTTTGAAAACCTTGTTAAACATGGATGTTTAGAATGAGTGTGAGAGAATAGAAAAGGAATTGGGAAAAGAAAATAAGAGAAAAGAGATGAATTGTTGACACTGTGCCCTCCGCCAATCCTTTCCCAGTGCTTATCACTCCTCTTTACCCCACTTTCATACCAAATTCTCTCAAATATTTTCTTCAAAATGTTTAGTGCATAAAAAGTCTTTTTCTTTGCTTTCTTTTTTCAGAAATATTAATGTTTTTTTGTCTTTAACGATTCAGTCAAAAGAGAAACTTTCTTTTGTTTAATCATCGTTTTTATTTTATTTTCTATTGTACTGCTGTACTACTATTCTACTGTTGTACTACTATTGTACTGTACTTTTAAACTCATTTGTATGATTTTTCTATACAAATCGAGTACCAAGTGGTGCCAACGAGAGTTGAAAGGTCGATTCTTTCGCCAAAAAAAAATGAATCATTTGTCATTTCTTTGGTATTCATTTTCTTTTACTTCAACAATCTATTTGTTTAGTTTTCAATTTTCATTTAATCAATCTTTTCGATTTTTTTATTTTCTCTGTAAAAGTTAAGTGAAGAAAGGTAATGAATGCTAATTGCTAATTGCTAATTTTCGGTACTGAGTTTTCAGTGCTGAAATGTTGAGGGGCTTTGATTATAGCACTTATTTTCTCATCAATTTATTTCAGTAAAAGATATTGAAAGCTTTCCGAGTCAATGATTGAGGTTCTAGAGGCTGTGCTAGAGGTCAACCAGATCTAGAAAAGATTTCCATTTCAATTACAATCACTCATTTCATTTTTTCAAGTGTCACTTCGTTTCAAGTACAAAAACTCAGTTCATTTTGAAGTCCCAGTTAACTTATCTATTTCAACTTATCTATTTTACCCTAATCTATCTCATCTATTCATCTATTTCAAATCAACTCAAAGATCGATAAACTGGCAGTTGCTTTTTTTCCTTTGAGCTCTCAGCTTAGTCGAATTGTTGTATTCTTTCAAATTCTTATTCCAAAATCCATTTTTTTCTCATCTTTCCCATGCATTGTCGTGCTTTTGCATGGATGGAAGAGGAAAACTGAGGCATTGAGGGGGATTGTGTTTGTTTGTGCATTGTTGTCGTCCGATCTGTCCTCTCTTTCCCTTTCCTTTTTGCACTCTCAGAATTTCTCCTCGAAAGCAAACTTTTCCTCTTGAATTTTCTCTTCTCTAATGAAGTCTCTTTGTACAAATTTTCAATAGACTTTTTCCACAAAATATCATTTACATTCGAGCTTTGGGTTGAGGCTTTAGAAGTTGAGGCTTTAGAAGTTGAGGCTTTAGAAGTTGAGGCTTTAGAAGTTGAGGCTTTAGAAGTTGAGGCTTTAGAAGTTGAGGCTTTAGAAGTTGAGGCTTTAGAAGTTGAGGCTTTAGAAGTTGAGGCTTTAGAAGTTGAGGCTTTAGAAGTTGAGGACTTAGAAGTTGAGGACTTAGAAGTTGAGGCTTTAGAAGTTGAGGCTTTAGAACTTGAGGCTTTAGAAGTTGAGGCTTTAGAAGTTGAGGCTTTAGAAGTTGAGGCTTTAGAAGTTGAGGCTTTAGAAGTTGAGGCTTTAGAAGTTGAGGCTTTAGAAGTTGAGGCTTTAGAAGTTGAGGCTTTAGAAGTTCTTTAAAATCATCAATCATTTTAAGTCGAATAAGTTGATCTATTGAATGAAATTCTCTGGAAATTGAATAAAGTCCAAGTACAGGAAAGGGTATTAGATTAAAAATAGAAAAAAAAGCAGCTTTACAATAGTTTTTAGTTACAATAGTTAGAATAGTTACAATAGTTACAATCAATAAATAAAATTGAGCATTAAATCCTAAAGATTCAGTTACAAGCTGATTGAAATTCAAAAATAACTATAAACATTGAAAAAAGGATTGAAAAAAAAGAGGTGTTGTTATTCTAGTTGAATCGGATAAAATTTAAAAAAAAAAAAAGAAAAAAGGGGAGAAGAGGCGGAGTCTGTTCGAAATGAAAGAGAAGAGAAGGGGTGTCACCGTTCTCCTCCTCTTCTACCCATTCGATCTTTTTCTTTCTTCCAATCCATTCCCCATTTTCTTCTTCTTCTTTTCAATTCTTGCCCCCCGTTTTGTTCTTTTTTTTTCCTATCTTTTTCCTTTTTTCCGCCTTTCCCCATTCTCTTCCATTTCCCCAATCGATCCTCTCACAAATGTTCCCTTCCCTTTTTTTTTTTCTTTCAAATCTTCCTTAAATCCTTCCTCAAAATCCCCATGGTGTTCCGTTTTGCTGTTCCCATTTTTCCAATTTAATTCTATACCTTATTTCTACACTTTGAAAACCCGTGAATCTACTTCAAGTGTACTTTGTGCTCAAAAACGCGTGCTTTTTTTTGGGATCGATTTGATTCAATGCATCATTCAGTGTGCCAAATGTCGAGTGTTTGTTTCCCATTTGTCAATTCAATTTTTCTTTTATCCAATTGGTGTTCCACTTTTATTTTTTCTTCAATTTCCAATCGTATTTCTTTCATTTTTCCCATTTCCTTACCTTTTTATTTGTTGAAATGGTTTTGTTGAATGTTTTGTTTTCAAATTCTCCCGTTTGAATTTGAATTTAAGCCATGCTAGTGTTCTTCATCTTTTTTCATCTTTTTTTTTTATGTATTGCATTCTTTAATAAATTCAATTTCTTGAAAAGCTTTCCATTTCTTTAAAAGTTTTCCATTTCCCTTAAATTGCTTATTTCCATTGCAGAGAATTTGCCTGAATCTGATCGGATTCTCTGAATTTTTCCTTCGATGGCCCCTCCACGACCACCGCAGGTGAAATATTCTTTAAAATTGAATTTAAAGAATATTAAAATATTCTTTAAAATTGAATTTAAAGAATATTAAAATATTCAATTTTAAAGAATATTAAAATATTATTTAAAATTGAATTTAAAGAATATTAAAATATTCTTTAAAAAACTTAAATAATATATTTTAAAAAGTACAATATTACTATTGTTCTTCGAAAATGAAACCCATTTATTGAAGGAATTTATTCAGCTACTGCGTCTGGTTGTGGTTGGTGGAGGAGGAGTGGGGAAAAGTGCGCTCACGATACAATTTATACAGGTAAATCAGAAGAAATGAGATTTTATGCTCAAAGGATTTATAAAATATCTTCTTTACAATTGTGTTGCTTTGGTAGGAATAGTTGATTTAGTCTAAAGTGTGCACTGTTTTAAAGGAAATCAGACTTTTTGGCAGACTTTTTCGGCTTTGAAAAAAATTCCTCTAGAGAACTTTACTTATCAAGTGCTTTAAGATCGTATTCTCTCTAATAGTTAATGAAGAAATTACCGTGGCTTGTAAAATCGATATAAAATCGATATAAAATCGATATAAAATCAATAATCGAATCGATAATCGATGGAATATTTATCTAATAATATTCATATCGATATCTACTATCGTATTCTCTCTAATAGTAGTGCACCGTTGCCTAAATTCCTCGAAATCTCGAGAACCGCTTATCAGAACCTATCGATGTGGGGTCGGAAAATGTAGCTGACGATGAGACCTAGTGGGGGATTAGAGTGTTGAGCTTCTGCGAAAACTTCGAAACCGTCAAATAGTCACCAACTCGGCTCGCTGGGGTGCACTACTCTTAGAAAGAATACGATAGTTTAAATATATCAATTAGTATTGGCTTCTAGTATTAGATTCAATAGAATTCATAGAATCTACAAGAAGAATTCTTCTACTTCTAGTTCTTCATAGAATTCATGGAATTCTATTAAACTCGAAAAATCACTGTCCGTCTTCCTTTTCTTGTCTTCCTTTTCTTGTCTTCCTTTTCTGGTCTTCCTTTTCTTATCTTCCTTTTCTTGATCTTCCTTCTCACTGTCTTCCTTTTTAATGCGTTTTTTAAAAAGCATATTGTGAGCTACCGTAATCGATTTTTATATCTATTTCACCGACAGTAAAGATCACGATAGTTAATGTCAAGAAATGACAAAATCAAGTTTCTATTAACCATTTAAAAAGGCAAATTTTAGCTCATTTTTCAAAGAAATTTGTTGGCAGATTGCTGTCAAATTAATTAGAAACACAAAAGTTTTCCAAACAATGAATCAAATGAATCAAATGAATCAAATGAATTAAATGAATATCCGGATTCAGCGCAGCTTAGGGAAAAGCAAATGTATTAGCAAATGAAATGCGATTAGAATATGTTTTACAGTTGATTTCTCTGATTTCCTTTCATTTCTCGATAATCTCTCAATCTCTCAATCCCCTGTCACCTCCACTCTTTTTTTATCTATTCCAAATCTACCACAAATTGCTCATTCATGTATACAATTGACCCGGGATTATGTTGTTGTTTTTTTGAGAGAGAATTCGTGAGAGATAGTTGAAAACAGTAATATTTAAAGTAAAAAATATTTTTTTAAAAAACAGAAAGTTTTCGAAATAAACTGTAGTTTAAATACACCTTCTGGTGCACTTAACTTCTTCACTTTGACATTAAATCGTTGCTGAAAGAATGAACGAACGAGTTGAGCATAGAGAGTTCAATGTAAAAAAAAAAGAATTTATTCGGTTGCACGAAGATTGTTTTGAAAATTTCCATATAAAATGTTTGTAATGAATTTTTGGAAACATTTGGAAACATTTGGAAACACCTCTAACCCTTAGTAGCTTACGTTCGCCTAAGATTTAAGAGTGTGATCCGGAGATGGTGCATCACGTGGTTTCCCAGAGCACCTGCAGTGAGCCAATAAAAAAAACATGGTGTAATGCAGGTGACTTCCCCGGCGCGCATCACAGGCGCAATTTAAAAACCCTTTAAAATCTTTTAGCAGATTTCAAATGCATATTTGCACATATTATTAGTAATGGAAATTTTCAAAACAAATCCTAATTGGGTCAGATGTGTGTACAAGTACAGGTTCACCAGTACAGATTCACAAGTACAGATTCACAAGTACAGATTCACCAGTACAGATTCACAAGTACAGATTCACAAGTACAGATTCACCAGTACAGATTCACCAGTACAGATTCACAAGTACAGATTCACAAGTACAGATTCACCAGTACAGATTCAAAAGTACAGGTTCACAAGTACTATTCAATTTTATTTCTTTTATTGATTTATTCAAATTTTATTCAGTATTCTCTTAAATTCTCAGACGAATCAATATCTGAGATTTGTACACTCGAATTTCATTGTTCAAGAGATGAAACCATTCATTTCGCTCATTTTCTTTTCTCGTTTCGCCATCTTTTCTTCACTTTTCTTCTCCGCATTTTCCCCAATTCAAAATCAAACAGAGAATTTTGGAAGAAAGAATGAGAAACGATCCGAATTCTATGCAAATTTCCCCTTTCTTTTCCACCATTTCTTGGCTTTCTTCCAGAAATCCCCCTTTCTTTTCTTTCTTTCTTTTCTTTTAGGAATCTTTTTCTTTTTCTCTAGAAATTTTGATCGATTGCTGATCAGCTGAATAACTTATAGACGACCTAAATTTAACGATTCTAAAAAGTGCTTAAAATTTCTTGCCCAACTGCCCAACTGCCCAACAATTTGCTGGGCAGTTACGCAGAAACAAAAAGCTTCTTTTAGGATTTCAAAATCATTGTATCAAGAGTGTATTTGAATGTATTTGACTGGACTTTTGTAAATGAATCGTTTTTCCTTCAGAATCTACAAATCTGGTATAGGTATCTTCAGAATCTACAAATCTACAAACCACTTGTAGCACAATTAGAAATTAGAAACAATCTAAAAGCCAAGCTAAAAGGTTCGCGTAAAAAAAGAACGATGAACTTTATAAAAATTAGGAAAACGAAAGTTTTGCTTTGAAAAAGTCGAAAAGAAAAGCGAAAAGCAGCAGTGAATTTCAGCAATATTTCGTCACTGACTACGATCCGACCATCGAGGATTCGTATACAAAACAGTGCTTTGTCGATGATGATATTGTCAAATTAGAGGGTAAATTTTGAAGTTTTTCCAACCGCTAATAACATAAAAACATTAGCTTATATTGTTCTTTAAATTTTGTTTCCAAAAAAAGTTCCCATCTTGAGAATGGCGTGATTCAAAAAGGGATTCAATGAAAAGTGACTTTTTTTTGTTTCGGATTTTTCCTGAGAGAATTGCCGTTTTCTTTCTCTTTTCTTTCTCTTTTCTTAGCAAGATTGTACCTTTCGTGATTGGTGAAGGAAAATGGGGGCTTTCTTGAAAAAATTTCTGAAAAATTCTTGCAAAAATGCATATGAATGAATGATGAGATGAAATGAAAGTCAATGTGAACTCTGTTGTCTTTTGTAAACTTTCGCCATCTGGCGTATGGAAATCAGTGCATCAGAAAGTGAAAGTTTATGTGCACGAACAAAGTTCACTTTGAGTGTAACGGAAAGGAGAGCTGTTTAGATGAAAAATGATGTAACTGGAAGAAATTCCATCATAATTTTCCACTTCAAAGACATCAAAGGATTTACCGAAAGAAGGAAGGAAGAGGGAAAGAGGGAAGGAAGAGGGAAAGAGGGAAAGAAGAGGGAAAGAGGGAAGGAAGAGGGAAAGAGGGAAGGAAGAGGGAAAGAGGGAAGGAAGAGGGAAAGAGGGAAGGAAGAGGGAAAGAGGGAAGGAAGAGGGAAAGAGGGAAGAGGAAGAGGGAAGGAAGAGGGAAAGAGGGAAGGAAGAGGGAAAGAGGGAAGGAAGAGGGAAAGAGGGAAGGAAGAGGGAAAGAGGGAAAGAGAAAGAGGAAAAGGAAGATGGAAGGAAGAGGAAAAGAAAGAGGGAAAAAGAGGGAAGGAAGAGGGCAGGAAGAGGGAAAGAGAAAGAGGGAAAGAAAAGAGAAAAGAGAAGACCATCAAAAATGTCGAATGAAATCATTTATGGAATGAAAAGGGTTAGAAAAAAAGGGGAAATTGGGAGAATTCGTAAGAAAAATGACTGGAAAAAGTTCGAAATCCGGCAAAAACAAAGAGCAACTTCTTTTGCAAATCTAATAGAAGGAATTTCATTCAATTTCATTTCCAGTATTGGACACAGCCGGTCAAGAAGAGTTCAGCACAATGCGCGAGCAATATTTGCGAACGGGAAACGGTTTTCTCATCATTTTTGCGGTCACCGATCGAAACAGGTTTACTTTTGAAGAAAATTCAATGTTTATAATCATTATATCATTTCCATTCCCGTTTTTCAGTTCATAAAATACCTTAGTTACCTTTTCTTTCTCTTCTTTCTTTCTTTCTTTCTTTCTTTCTCTCTTTCTTTCTTTCTTTTCTCTCTTTCTTCCTTTCTTTCTCTTCTTTCTTTCTTCCTTTCTTTCTTTCTTTCTTTTCTTTATCATCCTCAAATCTTTCTTTATCGCCTATCAATCCTTTTCATTTTCATTTCATTTTCCTTTCATTTTCTTTTTCTTTTAAAATTCCTTATCAAAAATGGGGTCGTTCATCGATTTTCTCTTTTATTTTCTCACCCTAATTCTCCCTTTTCAAATCTAAAATGAAATTTAAGGGGTTAAAAAGAGAAATCTGAATGGTAAAGTCAAATAAAGTATTTCATTTTGTGTCATTTCCAAATTCGGAATAAACTAGATCATTTTTCAGAAGAAAACAGAGAGATTTTTGATGTGATTTGATGTGGACAGTTGTGTTGATGGAAAGAAAGGCAATGGGTTAGGAAAAGAAAAAGGAAAAGAAAAAGAAAAAGGAAAAGAAAAGAAAGAAAGAAAAAGGAAAAGAAAAAGGAAAAGAAAGAGGAAAAGAAAAAGAGGAAAATGAACATGTGCGCTTCAAAAATTTCCCCATAAAATCCATCATTTTGACACCCCATCAAAAAAAAAAATTCGAAAAAATTCGACTTTAGAATTGTTTCTTTTCTAGTTTAAGTTCTTTTCTAGTTTCTTTTCTAGTTTCTTTTCTTTTCTAGTTTCTTTTCTAGTTTCTTTTCTTTTCTTTTCTAGTTCTAGTTTTTAAATCTATTTTTTATATTTTACTTTTTACTTTTACTGTCTAAAACCTTAAATTTTCAAGTCATCTCTGATAAATTAGTTGTCAAATAATGGAAAAGAAAAGAGAATCTCATAATCCTTTTGTACTTATTTTGAAAAGAATAGAGGAAAATGGGGGAAAAGGAGAAGGATTCAAGTCTTGAAAACAAAATGAAACATGAGCATTTTGTGCATAAATCAACTGTGAAGGGGAAAAGGAGAGGTAAAGGAAAGGAAAGGTGAAGGAAAAGAAAGGAAAGGAAAAGAAAGGGGTAAAGAAGATAATGACCAGATGGATACCCTTCAGGAAGAAAGGATTTGGAAAGGTTCAATGAATGGGAAACATTAGGTAAACGGGGTTCATTCTGAAAACAAATCTCCATCAAAAAAAAAACACAAATTACATTAAGTAATCACCAGAAAAGTATTAGAATGCACACCTACTGCGTTTTCTAAAAGGTAACTAGTTTAGAAAACTATCATATTTCATCGAATGTGATCAAATGTGAAAAATTGAGGTGAATGTGAACTACCCTAAAGTCGCGAGTATAAGTTCTGTTTGGCTTTCGCATACAAATTGACGGCTGTCTCCGGTGCGGTGTGTCGAGGGTTCGAATCCCGCTGCAGCATAACTTTTTTTGCTTTTTAAGAACAATAATAGAAGTAAATTTATTGAGGGTTATAGCAATTTTATGCTGTTATTTGTTGCTCCGGGCGTGGCTCGGCGCGTTCGCCCTGCTCCTCTCCGGTGCTCAGTCTTATGGATCCCTCCCTGGCCTCTTCATCCGGCCAAAGTCCACGTCGACGGTCGAAAGAGATGCTTTCCAGCGTCTTCTTCAACACTATCGTCTGGATCTATCCATGCACATAACAATGGTGATAGGCTGTCAGCTAGCAATGGTGATAGGTTGTCAGCTAGCAATGGTGATAGCCTGTCAGCTAGCAATGGTGATAGCCTGTCAGCTAGCAATGGTGATAGGCTGTCACCCTGTAGTATCCCCCGCTCCAAGAACAATAATAAAAGTTTATATAACAATAAAAATGTATAAAAGCCCACCAGAAAGAAATTCAAAGCAATTAAAGCGAATGTAAATTAAGGCAGAACTTATACTCGGATCAACTTATACTCGAGACTTTAGGGTAACAGTTTTCTAAGATTTGTATCTTTTAGAAAAAGCATCAGCCGAGAGGAATGTTCGTTTGAATTTTTGTCCTTTGTTCCTTTTAATTACAAACTATCCAATTACGCTACTTAGAATTAATGTCGCTTTAAATAATTAACAATCAATTTCTTTTCACTTTAGCTGACAAATTTCTAATTTTTATCTCTTGACAAATATTCTTTCATATTTTCTTTTCTTTCCTTTTCTTTTCTTTATCCAATCAAGTACACATTCCGAATCACCGTACAATGCCGTACAATGCCGTACAATGCCGTACAATGCCGTACAATGCCGTGCAATGCCGTACAATGCTCCCAATCAAAAAATGTTTTCATTTTCAGTTTTGATGAGGTTCGTCGATTGCACAAGATGATCACTCGAATCAAGGATCGAGATGAATTCCCGATCATTCTCATCGGAAATAAAGCCGACTTGGATTACGAGAGACATGTAGGGTTTTGTGAAAGAAATTTTAGAAATTAGTTAACTTTTAAACATAAAGTTGCTTGAAGTCTTGAAGTTAAGCGGCCATTCCCTTGAGTATTCACCATAAATAGCTTTGCCTAGCTTTGCCTAGCTTTGCCTAGCTTTGCCTAGCTTTGCCTAGCTTTGCCTAGCTTTGCCTAGCTTTGCCTAGCTTTGCCTAGCTTTGTCTAGCTTTGCCTAGCTTTGCCTAGCTTGACCAGAATTGAGTCAATCGTTCTGATTTTTTTGTTGAGGTAAATCTCAGGAAAATAAAGCTGATTTGGATTACGAGAGACATGTGGGGGTTTAATGAAATTGCTCTTTGAAATAAGAAAAAGTTTAAAAAATTTCGAGTATGTGAGTATTGTTGAAGTCTTTCAATGTTATATTGTTGATATTTTCAATTCTTTTAAGTCTTTTAAGCCTTTTATTTTTAAACTAATTTCCTCGAGTATTCACCAAAAGTGCTCTCAAAAAGTTTTCTTTAAAGGATTTCTTTAAAGTTTTCTTTAAAGTATTCTTTAAACATTAGAGATTTTAAAGAAAAATTTTGTGCAAATATTGAGTACTTTTTTTTTTGGCCTTGTTTTCTATACCACTTGGTTCTCTATGTGGATGTAAGGGGTGATTCTGGTGTTTTATGTGGTCATTCAAAGGGACAAAGGGAAAAGGAAAAGAAAAAGAGAATGAAGAGATCAGAATAACAGAGCAAAAGAAAGAATGAAAAGAAAGCAATGGTGTGGTCATGAGTTAGAAAAGTCATTTTGAATGGAGTGGTAGTAGAAGGGAGCACTGGGAAGGAGATTCGAATCGATTCCCCTTCAATTCTAGCACCCATCCCAACCCGTCCCCGCCCGTCCAACCCTCGAATTAGCTGGATAACGCTTTGGGGATTTTCTTGAAAAGAATACCAAATTCTTGAAGTTTTCTAGTTTAAAACAACCAAAGAACAAAATAAAAACGAGATTTGAAGATTTGCAACTTGAGCAAGGAACTTTTCTGTTGTTGTTGTTCTTGTTGTTGCTATTTCAAATGATATCAAATAGAGCTTGATTGGATAATCGAGTCCAAGAGAGTCGTGTCGCCTTGTTTGCATGGGAATGCTGGTAGAGTTGGCTCTGCCTTTCCTGGACTCGATTATCCAGTCAAGCTCTATTTTTCCTATAACTTTGTCCAAGAAAGGCAGAGCCAACTCTACCAGCATTCCCATGCAAACAAGGCGACACGGCATCCGACTTGGATAGGGCTCATTTGCTCAAAGTTTCCCCATCTACAGAGTGGCTCAAGCGCAGAGGGCTTAAATTCTCCAGAATTGAGTCAATCATTCTGTTTTTTCTAGATGTAAAACTTAAGTATTTCTCCTGGAAAAGTGCCCATTATCTAATCAATTCAAACTTTCAACTCTTTTATATGGCCATCCAAAGTTGAGAGCCATGCCTCGCATGCTATTCATAAGATTTTTGAGAGCGATCTTGTCAAAATCAAGTTTAGATTGAGTTTATTATGTTAATGAACATTAATGAACATTAATGAACATTAATGAACATTAATGAACATTAATGAACATTAATAAACATTAATGAACATTAATAAACAAAATTTCAAACGCTCTACGCAGTTTAAGTGCAAAAATTCTTGAGAAATGGTCATGATTCACTCAATTTTGACAAATCTTGGCTTTTTCATTTAAAATTTGAAATTTTTCATTCATGAATGACCTTTAGGCGTTGGAAATGATCTCGTAAAGAAAATGAGGGGATAATGGGAATCTTTTTCTCTTTGTTTGTTTCTTTTTCTCGCCTTTTGCTCATATCCATTGGGTGTTATTAAGTCGTAATGTATTTCGCCGACAAAATTTCGAGGTCATCACGTGGTTTATAATGTTTCTTATATCGTAGCATATAGTAAAATGTAGTGAAATGGATTTGGATTTGATATTTGTAAAAAATAAAAAAAATAAAAACAAAAATAAACAAAACAAAACAAAACAAAATCAATTTGAGGTATCACGCGAAGAAGGGGAAAATCTGGCTCGAGAATTGGGAACACCGTATTTGGAGTGTTCGGCGAAAGTGAGACTCAATGTCGACAAAGCTTTTCATGATCTTGTACGGATAGTCAGGTAAAAAAAAAAATGAAAAGCAAAAATACAAACATAAAAAGTGATCATTTAAGCTAGAAAATCGTAAGAATTGATCTCTAGCTCGTACTTTGTGCTCGCCGACAAACGCACGCTTTCTGACGCACCGTAAACAAGTTCATTGCGCTAGAAAGCATGCGTTTGTACAAAGCATCATGATTACAAGTGGACTATTGGGCTCTAGTTTCCGGGTATTTCGAACCGGCTCGTCACACTTTCAAGGCCTATAACTTTGTCCAGAGATAATATTTCTCTTAACTTTTTATATCATTGTACAGAGAACATTTCAGGCTTTCAAATGATACCAAATAGAGCTTTATTGGATAATCGAGTCCAAGAAAGGCAGAGCCAACTCTACCAGCATTCCCATGCAAACCAAGCGACACGACTCCCGAGTCGGATAGGCCACTTTTGCTCAGAGTTGGCTCTGATTCTCTTGGACTCAATTATCCAATCAAGCCTCTATTTGGTATCATTTGAAAGCCTGAAATGTTCTCTGTACAATGATATAAAAAGGTTAGCAAAATATTATCTCAGCACAAAGTTATAGGCCTTTAAAGCACGACGACCCGGTTCAAAACACATGGAGACTACGCAAAAAGCCGATTATTGTATTCAAAAGTCGATCCTTTTACTTCAAATTCTTACAGAAAATATCAACAACTCGATCGTCAACCAATCAATCCACACTCCTCAAATGATCATCATCCAGATTCCAGGAATTTGGGTGGAAAAAGGAAAAAGAAAAACAATTGTGGAATACAGTAATGCTTTGAAGAAAAAGAAAAAGAAAAAGAAAAGAAAAAGAAAAAGAAAAAGATATTCACTCAAAGCTAGTGATATATTTATTTGATTTCAGCAAATTCATCTGATATTTTAGTCATTTATATTTACAAAGAAAAGAAGAATTGATCCGTGCAATCTGTGTTTTTCTTCAAAATCTCTCTTTTTTTTTTTTTTTTGTTATCGAAATTCTAAAAATTTGATTTTATGTTCAAAATTTAAATAATAACAACTTTTCTCCTTCTTATTTCAGTTTTTTTTTCTTAATTTTTACAATGTTTACCAAATTCGCCGATCATTTTGAAGATTTCATTTGATTTTTGACAAATTTGACATTTTTGCAAGTTCCTTTCATATTTAAATATCTAATTATAAGCATTTAACTAATTTTTTTTTTTGAAAACAAGTTCTTTGAAAGCTTTGAAAGGTTTGAAAGCTTTGAAAGGTTTGAAAGCTTTGAAAGTTTGAAAGGTTTGAAAGCTTGAAAGCTTTGAAAGGTTTGAAAGCTTTGGAAGCCTTGAAAGCTTTGGAAGCCTTGAAAGCTTTTTGGAAGCTTGAAAGGTTTGCAAAAAACGAAATTTCGGTTCTTAGTGAGCTTTCTAGAGCGCATTCAATCTACCTTACCCCTACGTTTTTCCACAAAATGATCGGTTCACTGTTTCATCTGTAAATTTTATTCAATTTATACCTCACTCAAGGAAATTTATCCGTCCAAAGTTCTCTATTTTCATTAATTTTCATTAATTTTCATTTATTTTCATTAATTTTCATTAATTTTGGGGTAGGCTATTTAACAAGTTCTCTATTTCATTTCATTTCATTTCATTTCATTTTCATTTCCATTTTATTTCCATTTTATTTCACAATTACTCATAATTATCAAATTTTTCGAAAAGATTACGGTAATTTGTCTACATCTTAACGAAAACTTTTAGCATTTCCAATGAAACGGTACTGTACTCTTAGCTTATCTTATCGATTTTTCTAAATGTTGTTCATAGTTACCGTAATCGCATTCGATTTTCGAGAAGCTCCAAATTTCATAGAGAGAAACCAAAAAAAAACATTTTCTAGCTTAAATTTCCATAAAACTTGTGGCCTTTTTTGAATTTGAAATGAGTTAAAATTTCGGGGTAGGCTAGTTTCCGCAACTTTTTTTGCGCAACAGGGTCATTTGCGCAACTCACCATAACTTTCTTCTAAGTGGGCTAATCTTTATGATTTTGGTTTCATTTTGTTGCACTTATTGAGATCTACAAAATGAAACCTAAAAGCATAAAGATTGACCCATTTAGAAGAAAGTTATGGTGAGTTGCGCAAATGACCCAGTTGCGCAAATGACCCAGTTGCGCAAATGACCCAGTTGCGCAAATGACCCAGTTGCGCAAATGACCCAGTTGCGCAAATGACCCTGTTGCGCAAAAAAAGTTGCGGAAACTAGCCTACCCCAAAATTTCAATTTTTAACATTAAAAAACCCCAAAAATTCTATCAAAAATGTTTATTTATTATTTCGTTTTATTTTTACAATTCTAACATCTATTTTTCGATTTCCCTTTTTTATCCAAAGCCATTTAAATATTTTTTTTTCCTTTCATGACTCTTTGAGGGTTCTCCTATTCACAAGAATATCCCGAATTTGTTTTCAATATTTTTATATCACCCTTTATGGATTTATTTGTAAATATACATGCGTTTTTCTTTATTTATCATCATCATCATCATATTTTGCGTAGACAGCTTGAAAGCGTAGGCAGCTTGAAACGCAGCTGAGAAAAAAAAACCGGTGATTTGTTTAGATTTTTATTGAAAATCTTCTTGATTCTATGTCTTGATTTTAATTGTTCACCTTTCGTTTTTTCCGTTTTCTTTCTTCAATTTAAACTTTATTATTCACAACTTTCCCATTGTGATCTTCACGTTTTTTCATTTTATTTCATTTTTATGCTTTTTTATCCACATTTTTGATTCATTTCCCTTTATCCACAATTTTTGATTCATTTCCCCCCTCAGTGAATCGAAATCTTAACAATAAAAAGTTTATTAGCAAAGGAAATATTCGGTTATGACTTGGCTTTGTAGAAATGGTGAACTTCTGGTTCTCAGTAGACTCAGCGCCAGATAGCCGATGATTTGGCGAGGTCCTCGTAGCAGAATTATTAAGCAAAAGATGTACTTTTTGTGCGTAAAGGTGGCGCTCTTTCTGGCGCATTCAGTTTCCGGGTATTTTGAAAGAATTCGGGTGTTTTGAACGGATCGTCATGCTTTAAAGGCCTATAACTTTGTCCAGTGATAATATTTCTCTTAACTTTTTATATCATTGTACAGAGAACATTTCAGGCTTTCAAATGATACCAAATAGAGCTTGATTGGATAATCGAGTCCAAGAAAGGCAAAGCCAACTCTACCAGCATTCCCACGCAAACCAAGCGACACGACTCCAGAGTCGGATAGGCCACATTTGCTCAGAGTTGGCTCTGACTTTCTTGGACTCGAATTAGAGCCAACTTTGAGCAAATGAACCCTATCCAAGTCGGATGCCGTGTCGCCTTGTTTGCATGGGAATGCTGGCAGAGTTGGCTCTGATTTTCTTGGACTCGATTATCCAATCAAGCTCTATTTTTCCTATAACTTTGTCCAGAGATCATATTTTTCTTAACTTTTTATAGCGAATTATTAGGCGAAATGCTCGTAGCAGAATTATTAAGCAAAAGATGTACTTTCTGGTGCGTAAAAGCGAACACTCTCTTTCTGGCGCATTCATTTCCTAGTGAAATCATCATTTTTTAATATATTTTGATCACAAATAGCCGCAATTGCTTCTTTTTCTTGTTCTTAAGTTCGACAAAGTTCTTGGAAAGTTTATTATAAAGAAGAAAAGTTGTTTAATTATAAAAAGAATCAGAATAAAATCAAATAAAATCAAATAAAATCAACCAAAATCAAAATTTAATGTCCTCCACAACAACTTTTCTCTTGTTTCTTCTCGGCACAACTCGATTTCGATTGATCATCCGCTTTTCCTGGAAAGGTTTTGAGACTTTTAAGCTAGATAGAAGCTTTCTATCTTTCTATTTAAGCTAGATTTCAAGCTAAAGATAGAACTTTCTAAATTGATTCATCTTATCCACTTTATTCAATCATTTCTTTTTCCAATCACTCACCTGCACAACATCCTCCCTCTTTTTTCTTATCAGGACACGGGCAATTCGTGCATTTACAATCCACACATTTACACTCTTTCCCATCAGCACAGCCTAGAAAATAATTGGAATTGATTGAAAATTGGAAATATTCAAAAAAAAAGGGTTAAATTTTATAAGCTTTCCAATGAAAATAGATCTATTTACCGTTCTAATGTCATGTTTATATAAATGTATAAATGTTTATTGTTTGAAATGCTCTAATCGAACGCTTTGTACAATCGCGTAGTCTTTTTCTCAGCCTTTAGATTTTCTCAACTACACTTTTAATACAAAAAAAAATACTAGATTTCAATTTATCATTTGACACCATGTAGCAGACTGTAGCCTAAAGTAGTGCAAAAGAATGGAACTTTCAAAGTTCGACTACGCGACTTTATCTCTCTAAATTTGGTGCCCTATCTCTCTAAATCTGGTTCCCAATCTCTCTAAATCTGGTTCCCAATCTCTCTAAATCTGGTTCCCTATCTCTCTAAATCTGGTTCCCAATCTCTCTAAATTTGGCTCTTTGTACACCTTTCCATAATCATCTGACTGAGGCCTATTTGATTTGTGAGTACAAAAATCAATCAATTCCTTTAGAAAATGCCATTCAACTCTAACTAAACGTTAAAAATTGGTACTTATTGATCTAAAATCTCCTTTTAGATATGTATGTAAATGATTTTAAGTAAACCAATGAATTAGCCAAGAACAATTTTCTATTTTTATTTCGAATAATAAAGTGCTTTCGTTTGCTGGAAATAACGCTAAAATTGTAAGTGAAAAATAAGCTTTATTTAGCAAATAAGTATATTCGATTTACATATAAATATTACATAAAAACAAACCACAATTTTCCCCTTCAGGCATCGTTTTGTTTATCGAGTAGAAATGGGTCGATTTGGGAATGGAATGGAATGGAATGGAATGGAAAAATTGGGGAAAATGAAGGGAATTGCGGTTGAGGGGAATGTCATAGAGAAAAAAATAGAGAAAGAAGAAAAGAATAGGGGAAATGGAAGAGAGAAAGATTGAGAAAGAAGAAATAAGAAAAGAGAATAGAAAAGAGAATAGAAAAGAGAATAGAAAAGAGAATAGGGAAAAGAATGAGAAAATCGAGGAGATCTCGAGAAAAAGAGACTCGAGAAGAGAGAAATGCGGGGAAGATTTTGCACAAAGATTTCGAGAAAACTTCCGAAAAAGGGAAACGTTTCTCTATTCAGTTTTTTCCATGTGTTCCTCTCATCCACATTCGTCCAGAATTAATCATATTTGAGAAAAAAGAATGTATAAACGTTTTAGAAACTCTTATAGCTAAAAATTGGATCTAAAAGCAATTGTGGATGCAATTTTTATGTTCAAAACAGTTTTTTTTAATCTTTTATAACAAAAAACATGAAAATCGTCTTGCAAAAATTGATTTAAAGCTGTTTATTTCAGAAAATTTCTATAGAAAAAAAGATGAGCAATTTCGAAAAAAAAAAAACAACGAAAATTCAAGGTTATTTGAAGAAAATTATTGAAAAATATAGGGAAAAAACCCGTTTTTAAAGTTTTTTTAGTTAAAAGCAAAGATTTTTGATGAACGAAAAAGAGAAAGTGCATTAGATAATAGCCTTAGATAATGTTTGAATGGCTTTTTAGTGCTAAATGATGCCTTTATAGTCCGTTAAAGAGGGCTATTGTCTTTTGTTTTTCTTGGGATTAATATTGATCCAATTGGACTCTATTTTATCGTTCGAGCATTTGAAATCGACAAGAATATAGCGAAATTTGTTGTTTTCTTGGAATTTTCTCATCAAATGAATCTCGATTTTATCGAATTCGAAAGGGAAAAACTAGCAATAAGTTTACAATCATATTCTTCGAAAAAGTTTAATAGAGAAAGTTTAATAAAGTCATTCTTTAGTCTTCCCAAACTTCCCCTCTATGTTTCCTCCTCTTTTCTTCCCTTCGAGGGGGGCCTTGCCTAGGGGCCTCCCCTCCTCCCCTACACCATTTCTAATCTATTCATCTTATTGTATACTGTAAAAAGTTGTATCTCCCCGGGGTTGGTGGTGGCCCCTTATAACCCAATCAGCCCCCCCCAGGTGTCATTCTTTAAAGAGTGAATCTTTAAAGAATGAATACTCCATTAAAGAGTCCCTTTGACATACTATGAGTCAAAATATTCAAAAGTAGAAATGAAAAAGAGAATGAGGAGATATTTAGCACACTTTTCTTTAGCAACATATAAAGATTACCGTATTTTCTCTAATAGTAGTGCACCATGAGCGTCGCCTAAATTCCTCGAAATCTCGAGAACCGCTTATCAGAACCTATCGATGTGGGGTTGGAAAATGTAGTTGACGATGAGATCTTGTGGGGGATTTGAGTGTTGAGCTTCTGGGAAAACTTGGAAACTGTACCCAAAATAGTCATCAACTCGGCTCGCTTGGGTGCACTACTATTAGAGAAAGTACGGTATTATGGAAGCTATGTATCTTCTGAAACTTACACTTTTACACCGTAATTTTTTGATTTTTTGTTGTTGATTTGTTGATTCAATCCTTTAATCCTTCAATCCTTCAAACATTTTCATAAATTAGCTTCGTTTTTTCCTTGCAATTCCCGCTCCTTTACTCCTTTCATTGGCCACATTTCTCTCGATTGTTTTTCGCAATTTCAACCCACAACGGGGCTCTCGATTACGGTAACATGGCCTAAAAATAGAATTATGCATAGGTTTTCTTTGGATTAATTGAGAAAATACTAGGTTGAGGAAAAAAATTCTGAATTAGCTGCGAAAAATTCAATTTTTATGCGCACTATAAGAACAAAAATAAGAAGAATAAGAAGAATTTTTCCTTAAAGGAAAGCTCATGATTATCTACGACTTTCTCTCATCGATCTGCAAACTTTCGGGCCTGCTCCAAGTAGCACTCGTTCGGTTTCGAATTAAAGAACTCTTGGCAAGCTTCTTCAACTTCTTCAAATGACTCGAATGAATTCAAATTGAAAGTGTCCATTTCCAGCAATAGCGAATGAAAACTCGAAGCTCTTTTTCTTGGAAACTCATTTGGAATCCAAAGGTCAAAATTGGCAAAAACATAAGCGCAAAAAAATCAGCAACGAAATGCATCAAAAATTGAATTTTTCGCCCAGCTAATTCAGCTAACTTTTTCCTCAACTTCACCGACTTTCTGTGAAGTTTGAATTGTGAAATTTTCTGTATTTATTGATTGAGATGAGAAATAAAGCCAGATATGCTTATAGTTAGATATATTAAATAAAATATTGATCGTTGATCGTTGATCTAATCGTTTTCTAATAACTCAAGCCTATTATCTATATTTTCAAAGTTGACGTTTCAAATGAGGAAGGAGCAAAAAGGGTGAACTGGCTACGGCTACCAGCTTTAGCCATTCACCATTCACTTTTATTATCAATTTTATAGTAAACATAATATTAGGTTGATGCAAAAGTCTTTTTCATTTTTTTCGTACTTCCGTTAAAAAGTAACAAATGCACCAATTGAACAACGGTTTATTGCATTCGAAAGGCCAATTATTTTTCTGCGAAATGACATTAAAACGAGTTTAAAATGTCTTATGTCTAGATTTTTTTGAGAGCCTGAAGTCGGGTAGTCAAAAAAGGCGACGGCTCGATGATGCATTTTAGACGCTTTAGCTAAGGAAACCAATCTTGATGTTAATAAATAAAAGATAGAGCACAAAAAGTTCGATATTTTTTCAGATTTTCAGAGAAATTGATTCAGCCAATTTCTTTCTAGAGGTTTTTATAGATTTTTATGATTTTTATAGTTTTTATAGATGGTTTTTATAGATGGTTTTTATAGATTTTTATGAAAAACCCGTTTTCACTCTCGAATTTGCTTGAAAGTGAACCCAAATTGAGTTAAAAAGATGGGAAATTCAACAATAAAACACTTTTCATTTAGAGCAAACCATAGGTTAATTGATGACTTTGTTATTTTTCAAAAGAAGTACGAAAAAAATGAAAAAGACTTTTGCATCAACCTAATAGTTAGTATCTTGGTTTTATCAATTACTGTAGCCAGCAACTCAAAAACTTTGAAATGAAAAGAAAAACATTTATAAAGAGCATTTATAAAGATTTAGACAAGATTTAGACGATTGCTAGGGTGAGATTTAGCGTAAAAAAAACATTTTAAAAAATCAAAATTCAAAAAGAAATCCATTTTTCTTTAACTTTTAAGTCGTCTCGTGGAAATTTCACCGAAAATCTTCATCTTCATTGCAATCTTTATATCTTTGCTTTATAAAGCTAAGAATTTAGAGGTATACAAATTTAGACCAGATTACAAGTAGCTAGGGCAAGCTTTGGGGGGTGGGACAAATGCGACCTTTTTTTTGCGCACCTGGACATTTGCGCACCTTTTTTTTGCTGGAAAAGGCAAGGCCGTAGAGCTTCGAAAATATTTCCATATAAGGGAATCGTATGCGTAGATTCCGAATTTCGACAAATCACACCTCGCTGACACGTCAAATTTGGGCTAAAAGGCAAAAACTGCGGAAAAGCGTTAAGTTGCGTAGTTTTTGCCTTTTAGCCCAAATTTGACGTGTCAGCTAGGTCTGATTTGTCGAAATTCGGAATCTACGCATACGATTCCCTTATATGGAAATATTTTTGAAGCTCTACGACCTTTCCTAAGGCCTTTTCCAGCAAAAAAAAGGTGCGCAAAAAAGGTCGCATTTGTCTCACCCCCAAGCTTTAGGGTAATTTGTAGGCTAATAATAATAATAAAATAATTTGATCTGTCTTCGCACTTAGCGCAGATCACAACCCGCTTCCACATTTACTGAGGCAGAAGTGTAGTTGTCGTAGCCGATGATACTCCGATGGCCGGGCTGGGGCGCTCGGAGGGGAACCCATGGGAGTCGAACCCACGACTAACCCGCGCCGACGTTGCTCAACTTGGCAGATCGGACGGGGTCGACCACAGACCCTTCCCTTTCTGGGCCCAATTTGTAGGCTAATTTCCGCAATTTTTTTTTTTGCGCAACAGGGTCATTTGTGCAAATCGCTTTTACCTATCTTGACTTTGACCCTAATTTTCCATATGTTTTTATCAGTAAGTCTACAAAACAGTTTCTAGATTTCTTGAGTCAAATTTAATGTAGATTCTAATAAAAGAAACTAGGAGTTGATTGCATTTCTAGACCTGGAGTTATGGACCATTTAATTGGATCGACTCTTCTACTTTTTTCTAAGTGCACCAATCTTTCCGATTTTGATTTTTTAGATCACAATAAGTGCAACAATGACCCTGTTGCGCAAAATAAAATAAAATAAAAAAAAATGCGAAAATTAGCCTACAAATTACCCCAAAGTTTGCCCTAGCTACTTGTAATCTGGTCTAAATTTTCTATAATTCTAAATTTTCTAAATTACTAAATCTAAATTATAGCCTACCCCCAAGCTACCCCAAGCTTTAGCGTAAAAGCGTTCATTTTTAAACAACTAATCAAACATTGCTTAAGCAAAAAAAAAAAATAATAATAAATCCATTTTTCTTTATAAAAACATTACCTTTTAAGTCGTCTCCTGAAATTTCCACCGGAAATCCTCATTGCAATTTCATTGGGTAATGGTGGTAATGGTGGTGGTCGGAATGAGTCGATTTCTCCATTTCCCAATTCATCATCTTTATAGATTCTCTTCATCTTTTTTCTTCTCATTTCCCATATTTTTGATGGTCGAATCGGTCGAGAGATTCGGACACGGAGATTCGGATGTTGTCGTGTCAGAAAACGATCTTTCTTTGTGTCACCCTGTCCTCTGATGAGTCTCAGTTGAGTCGATTCGGAGCTTTCTATCTGAAAGATTCTTTTGAAAGACTAACAAAGGAAGAGCAGGACAAACTAATAAATCAATAAACTAACAAACTAGTAAACTAATAAAGTAATAAACTAACAAACTAGTAAACCATAATAAACTAGTAAACAATAATAAACTAGTAAAATAATAAACTAATAAACTAATAAACTAACAAACTAGTAAACTAATAAACTAATAAACTAATAAACTAATAAAGAACAAAAATGCATTAAAATCTGAAACATTATGCTAAGCTTAAAATTAGATTTAATCTAAAACAACTTGTGCATCATTTTGATCTCTTCTTTCATTTCGCAAATTCATCTTTTCATGACTTTCTCCAAATGTTTGAAGTGATTGAAATGATCGATTTGACTTTGGCTAAAGATTAATGGATCTTTTTTTGATATCATTTATCACAAACCATAAATATTATTGTTTCTGATTGAGGAATCGAACTCCAATGATGCTTTTGAAACCGCTGAAAGAGAGTTTCATTTTCAATTTCAATGAATTCGCTTGGTTAGAACTAGTTAAATCTTTTGTAATTCTCAGTGAATAACTCAAAATCAAGATGTTTTTTTGCAAAACTCACCGGTATTTTCACTTGATTTGTTTGAATTTTGAATGAACTCTCTGCTGAGTCGACAATCATCCGTTGTTCACTCGTTTTTCTCGAAATCCCATTCCATGGTACAGCCACTTCTTCGAAAATCCCTTTTTCAATAGGATTTTCAAAAGAATCGTTTTCTTTCTCTTCAGCAAACGATTCAAAAGATCTCAAATCATTCATTTTCACAATCTTTGATGTCGACGAGAAAGAGTTTTTAATTTTCGAGAGTGGAACAGACACTTGAAATCCGAGTTTTCGCTTTAGAACTTCATTTTGAAACAATATTTTTGGTTTCTCAAAAATTTCATTCGACATTTGAGGCAAAGTGGGCAAAACCGGAAGGAAAATTGAGGTGTTCTGCCATTTTTTAAAGGGAATTTTTGCAACTGGAGGTTCTTGGGGTTTTTGATCGAATTTCTGAATTGATTGATGAAAAACTTGAGTGTTCGGTCCGGAAACGAGATGATTGATGATTTGATCGTTGATTGAAGAAGAAGAAGAGGAAGAGGAAGAGGAAGAAGATGAGGAAGAGGAGGAGGGAAATGAAGGAGATGGGAATAAAGTGGGTGGAGTGATGAGGATACGTGGAGGAGAACGGGGAGGAGAGTGAATGTGGCTGGGAGGGGAGAACAGGGTCGACACGACAAGTGGACGGTGGAGTGGCTAGAAATTGAAAGAGTTCAAAGCGTTGAAACAGTTGAAACAATTCCGAGTCTTTGTTTATCTTTTTCCAAATTGAGACCAAGAAAATTTTAGCACTTACCGTATTTGTTCGAATAGAAGACCGGGTAAAGAGTATGATCGCGTACTCCTGCGTAGCAGCCCTTTTTAAAATTTCTTTTCTGCATAAAAGCTTTCAATGAAGTGCTATAGGGCTGGAAAATGGCTGAAAAATCTGTTAGCTTATGTCGTATTTTTGAGTCATTTTCCAGCTCTATAGCATTTCATTGAAAGCTTTTATGCAGAAAAGAAATTTTAAAAAGGGCTGCTACGCAGGAGTACGCGATCATACTCTTTACCCGGTCTTCTATTCGAACAAATACGGTAATTTCCCTCTCTTGTTGGCATTTTCCATTTAAGACAGGTTTTTGTCAGCAGTGAAAGTATGAGAACGAGTAAAAACGAGTTGATTGCATTCTGTTTTGCTAATTTTTTTTTGCACGGAAAATGGTAAACAAATTTCGTTACGATTTACTTATTTATCTTCTTCTCGCAATTTCATCTGCAAATGTAAATCATCTGATTTTTGATGCAAATTCGATCACAAAATGTATTGGTTTGGTGAATTGAAAAAAATTTCCATCGTTTAACTCTACGTGCAATCCATTTTTTTGCGCTTTTCCCTTAACACGTTGACGACATTGTCACCTGATGCTGTCTGACACATATTCGTTCGCCTGGGACATTGTCACCTGATGTCAGGTGACAGTACCAAAATTGATTTTTTTGCGCATATTTATGTTTGCTGATGATGAATATTAAATAAGCAAGTAGGGTAGTATCTATATTCGACTTGGTCCCGGAAAATGTCGATTTAACCGTTGATTATTAAAATTTTAATTTTTTAGGTGACAATTTCAGGTGACATTTTTTGTCGAAAAAAAACAACGTTGTCCCATGCGATTGTTTGTGCAAAAATGCCATTGTCGTCAACGTGTTAATGGATTCGGATCAAAACGAACATGAATTGAAGAGATTTTGTGATTGTAAATTGACGAGAACAACTGAAAATGTTTTTTCTGTATAAACTATTGGGTTGGTGAATTGAAAACTACGGGCTATTGTCATATGTGACAGTTTGAGCACTTTCCTCAAAAGAAACCCATTTTGGTGTCAATGGAAAAGTTGTAGAGAATCAAAAATAAAGCTTATATCCAAATTTTCAGAACGATTCAAAAACTGGTTTTGAAGAAGTGCCAAATTTACGAATTTTCACCAAAACTTGCATTTTAAGCGAAACTACTATGTGTATCTTTTTGGAAATTTGGCTATAAGCCTCATTTTTGATTCTCTACAACTTTTCCTTTGACACCAAAATGGGTTTCTTTTTGAAGAAAGTGCTCAAACTGAGACATCGGACATCTCCAGTCCTCGATTTTTGAGTCTCACACTTGTCTCACACAAAAACCAAAATCCTACCACGAAAGAGGAATCCGCAAATTACCTGTAAAATGGGCAGAAGTCGTCAATAATAATGGAAATTATTTGGTATGAATTCATGGTTCTATGTTGAATAAATTTTAGTTCAAAGTCCCACAATTTTCAATTGACCAACCCAATGATAGTGCACCCAAGCGAGCCGAGTTGGTGACTATCTTACGGTTTCCAAGCTTTTGCAGAAGCTCAACACTCAAATCCCCATACAGTCCGGACCTCGCCCCTTTTGATTACTATTTATTCCGGAGCAAGGAGTAATGAGCTTGCGGGAGAACACTTCGATTCGGAAGAAGCAGTCAAAAGTTCGCTTTGAAAGTTTTTCGATTCAAAACCAAAATCCTACCACGAAAGAGGAATCCGCAAATTGCCTATAAAATTCGCAGAAGTCGTCAATAATAATGGAAATTATTTGGAATCAATTTATGGTTTTATGTTCAATAAATTTTGGTTCAAAGTCCGGCAGTTTTCAATTCACCAACCCAATAAATCATCTGATTTTTAAAGATAAACAAGTCTCGTATTTGATTGACAAAAACATTTTTCACTTTTGTAAAAAACAATGCATTATTAAGACTAGAGATTATGTTTGACATTAAAGCTCATTTTTTTCAATACCTTTCGCAAATCACTCATTCCTTCACTATTCGCTGTTGCTGGCAAAGCTAAAGTGAAACTGAAATGAAAATTCGTTTCCTACAAGTTTTTCCCACCTTTACATCGTACACAAAATCTGATAACATCATCAACATTTTCTTCATTTAAAATCATTTGATTAAAAGCTTCCAATAAAGGACAGGAAAGGTTCTAAAAAAGTTGAAATTATTGAAATCAAGAAATGAAAAAGAAAAACCATTAAGAAAAACGATTTAACCTGTGAACTGATGGCGGTATTTTCTGTGAATTGACACATTGTCGAATTCGAATCATAATAAGCAACCTGAAGTTTATTTTGAAAAAAAATAAATAAATTCATAACATTCTTACATCACATTTCTTCATATAACAAATGAGAGCACAATCGAGATTCGATTTCACAAGAATTCGATCGGAAAATATCGATGAAAGTTCGATGGGAAGATCGATTGAGGAAAGGATATCAACTCGATTTGCACAATCTAAAACATTGTAAAGACTATAGAGAACTTTAATTACTTTCTAATGAGGTCAAAATAGAATAAAAACTAAAAAAAGCTTATTTTAACCTCTTTAGAATTCCATTCCTTGTCCTTTCCCAGTACATACGAATTTCAAAGAGAGGAATAGATTAAATCTTCTAATTAGAATGATTAGCTATAGAGCTATAGAGCTATAGAGCTATAGAGCTATAGAGCTATAGAGTTATAGAGCTATAGAGCTATAGAGCTATAGAGTTATAGAGTTATAGAGCTATAGAGTTATAGAGCTATAGAGAGTTATTTGATAAAATTCTCTTGATTCGATTATAAACTTAATTAAATGCTTCACTTTATACCCGTTTCTTTAGCGTCGATTCCTCTTTTTAGTCCGAATATCATTAGAAAAATGACAAGGCTACCGCGCATACCGCATCAATGTTCACTGAAATATTTTGGTGATTTCAAGTTTCGAAAGCTTTTGTATAAGCGCAAAATAAATGAGTAATGATTGGTGAAAGAATGAAGAATGATTGAAAGAATGAAGAATGATTGAAAGAGTGATTGAATGAAGATCGAGAAAAATGAAAGAGGAAACGTGAGAATTCTGATCGAAAGTGTGGCAAAACATGAAGCATGGGGAAATGCAACAAGGACAGGTACAGGTAAAGAAAAAAAAGGGGGGGGAAAGGCCGGATTTGTGAGGGGAAATGGAGGAAGAAAAGAGCTATTAGTGAAGGGGGGAAAATAGGGGAAATGGAGGAGATCTGGCAGAAATGGGGTGCGAAAATGGAGGGATCGGATTGAAAGGTTGAAATGATAATGAGGTGGAGAGAACAGGCTTTATTCCTTTTGATTATTGCACTTTCTAGAAGGCAACTATTTTAGAATTACCATAGTCAAATCGCGAGATTCGATCAGCCCAATTTTAGTGTCTTTTAAAAAGTGCTAACTTCCCTTAGTCTAGGTTGAAATCTCATCAAAAGCGACTCCATTTTGAAAGTTGAAGCTTTAGGGGCAAATTTACATTTGAATAAACATTTGTACAAGAGCTGCGGGAAAACAATGATCAGAAGAAAGAAGTGTTCACCAGTTCAATGCCCTTTTAAGTCAATATCGAAAAATCTTTGCCAAAGAAAAATAAAACAAAAAGTATCTCTAATACTTTAAGAAAAATCTATTGTTTTTAAAAAAAGAGAAAACGATGTGAAAGAGGGAAAATGTTTGAAGAAAGTGTTTAAAGAAGAGTTCATTTTAGAGGGAAATTGAAAGGGAAAGGAGTAGAATCTCAAGAGAATCACTGTTTTGCAAAAATATTTTAGTATTATCGGGTTAAATCCATTTAAAACACCAAGATGCACAAGATTGTTTGATTTTCACATTGAATCTATAATACTTTTGCTCTGAACCTTTGCTTTATCTGAATTGGAGCACATTTTTACACTTTACTTGTTTGTTTGTTCGCTTGTTTGTTTGTTCGTTTGTTTGTTTATTCATTTGTTTGTTTGTTTGTTTGTTCGTTTACTTGTTCGTTTGTTTGTTTGTTCATTCGTTCGTTTGTTTATTCATTTGTTTGTTTGTTCGTTTGTTTGTTTGTTTATTCATTTGTTTGTTTATTCGTTTGTTTGTTTGTTTGTTTGTTTGTTTGTTTGTTTATTCGTTCGTTTGTTTATTCATTTGTTTGTTTGTTCGTTTGTTTGTTTGTTTATTCATTTGTTTGTTCATTCGTTCGTTTGTTTATTCATTTGTTTGTTGGTTCGTTTGTTCGTTTGT